TCATACCAAAGACATTCTGTAATGACAATACCAGGTCATACCAAAGACATTCTGTAATGACAATACCAGGTCATACCAAAGACATTCTTTAATGACCATACCAGGTCATACCAAAAGACATTCTTTAATGATTATACCAGGTAATACCAAAGACATTCTGTAATGACCATACCAGGTCATACCAAAGACATTCTTTAATGATTATACCAGGTCATACCAAAGACATTTCTGTAATGACAATACCAGGTCATACCAAAGACATTCTTTAATGACCATACCAGGTCATACCAAAGACATTCTTTTAATGATTATACCAGGTAATACCAAAGACATTCTGTAATGACCATACCAGGTCATACCAAAGACATTCTTTAATGATTATACCAGGTAATACCAAAGACATTCTGTAATGACCATACCAGGTCATACCAAAGACATTCTTTAATGATTATACCAGGTCATACCAAAGACATTCTGTAATGACAATACCAGGTCATACCAAAGACATTCTTTAATGACCATACCAGGTCATACCAAAGACATTCTTTTAATGATTATACCAGGTAATACCAAAGACATTCTGTAATGACCATACCAGGTCATACCAAAGACATTCTTTAATGATTATACCAGGTTATTCCAAGGACTGCTTGTAGTGGTAATACCAAAGATCTTCTGTAATGAACATATTGGGTAATACCAAAGACATTTTCTAATTATTATATACTAGGACATACCAAAGATCTTTTTTAATGAGAGTACAAGGTCATACCAAAGATCATACAAGGTCATATCAAAGACCTCATGTATGATTCCAAAGACCTGCTGTAGTATAAATATACAAGGTCATTTCAAAGAGGTTTTGTAATAATCATACCAAAGGTCTTTTACTTGTTTCAGTGTCTTCCCTTTATTTTTACTGATAACATGATTAAATCATATGATCCAGATTATTAATTAGCACCTGTGCCAGTGTGAATTTGTTCCCATGCCGGTAGTGACTTTTCATGCTTCCTTTCCTTTTGATTTACTTGCCTTCATGCATCTATTGGTTATAAGGTGGTACAGTCTATTTTTGGTAAACATTTTGACATGTGTTTCTTCCTAAATGGCTTTTTGTAGGGCTGCGTCTTCCAGAATTAGTCACTTTAAATCACCCATTCATCCCTGGTACTTAGGATGATTTGACTGTGACCTGCTGTATTCCTTCACCAATAGGAGCATGCCTAAATGCATAGTGATTTCAGTATTTTGTCCCAGATGTAAAAATGACAATATTTTCTCCTAGAATCAACCTTCCAGTATTTTGTTCATAATAACAGCAAAAACAACAAGCTAGTCTGTATTTGGTATAATTGGTTTAAAGGTAAGAACAAAATACTCCCCCATCTTGTGTCTTGCTTTAATTCTAGTTATATGATACAATGAAAGTCATTGATCTAATACAAATAAATTAATATCATAACAGCCATCTTTAGTGGAAAACGAGGTCATTCATGCTATATTTAAAAGACCCTGTTTATTCTTGTCTTTTGGACTTTGTTTTTTATTTTACATGTTTGTGGTCTTTTATTCTTTTTCGGTGTTAATGATACTTATATTGATACTTATATTTATCAAATTGGTCAATCAAACAAAGCCTGAAACATTTTCAATTTCGCCTTTTTTGGGTATTCTCTAGGGATTTGTTTTGGTGTTGCGGTTGTTTTTTTTTTTTAACTTGAGAACAGTTACTGTCCATGATCTAAATGAGGAAATTTTATAAAATGATTCGAAGAATTGGCAGGCAACAGTATAGTAGAGTTAGGGAATACAATAAGAATCTGATGTGCATTCTGACCTCTTTCTGTACTAATAATATCTGTCATATGTTGCAATTCGGATCAGAATAGCCATCCCTCGGAAACCCACCCAGTGGCAGTAACTCTGCTGGAAATGACTGTCCCAAGAAGACCCGCCCATTTGGTGGTAGCAAGGCTTGTCTGGTTACTGTCCATTGGAAGGTTTCCAGGGACAGGTATTTTAATCCGAAATGCAAACAGGTCGAATATTTTTTCTTGCATATTCTTCCATATTCAAACTCTTTACTTTAATAAAGCAATTTTTCCAAGACAAATCATGTCATTTCACCCCTTACTTTTTTCTTACAACAGCGTATGGAATTACTGCTTCATTCATAACGGTAAAATAAGGGTGCCATTGTACAGCACGGGACATGGGACTCATCTGGCAACTCCTATGCCAGAATAAAAACAGGCAGGGGTAAAACTAATGGAAACACCAGAATGGTATGCAAGAAAAGTAAGTCTAATTTATGAATGAAGCTGTAATTCCATGCGCTGTTGTAAGAAAATAGTAAGGGGTGTAATGACATAATTTGTCTTGGAATAAAAATTAAATGATATTGACAAATCAACTTTTAGTTAATTATTGAAAAGGCTCTGATACATATTCCACCAGTGTTTGAATAAAGTAGTGACTTAGATAGGGTTTGTAAATCAAGGATTTTAAAATCATGATAAGTGCAGGGTTCCACCCATTATTCAAGAAAATTGAATTAAATATTCTTGAATTTAGTGTCAATTCAGAACTAAGAGGTCATTGACTTGGTAAAATGTACTAAATATAAAGTAAATTACAGCAACTACTAAAGGACTGTTTGTAAGAACATGTAAAACAGCTGTTGTGTAAAAAAAAACGAGACAAAGGAATATTAATATTTTGGCTCAAGTATTTATACTTTTGTACGTATGTTGGCTGTAAGTCAATGAATTGACAGTTTATTTCATAGAGTACCCAGTAACTTTAGTCTACTTCGTAATAATGATACATAATCATTTAATTGCAGTCGGCACTGTTTACCTCATTATCACTAAAATAAGTTTTTTTACATCTATCAATCAAAATCGGTGCAAATTGTTTTCCATTATCTGACACCATGAAAAGATTTTTCCACCCAAATAACCCTAAAATAACTATGAAATGTATCCAACGGAGATATTTTACAATTCTTATATCACTTAACAAATATCGGAGAAAAAATCATAGTGTAACGTTTAATTAAGCATAAAATTAGAATTAAAGAATGTATTTTGTTTCTGTTAATAGTTGTAACATGTGTGCGATACTTAGGACTGTGAGTGCATCCGAAAACAATGTAACAAAATGTACTTAATGACTTTAATGACTCTTTTACAAATATATAGCGAACTAGTTTTTTTCAGCACCAAATGACCTCATTTGTAACAACCAGAATAAGGGTCACAAGCACTTTTGTACAGAAAAACAGTTGTTGATAATTTTACAGTCTGCTAAATTCAATTAAATCCTCCTTTTTTTCTTTTTCTTTTCTTTGGTCACAGACTGAGTAATAGGCTTTCATATCTTGGACCAGTATGAAATTCTGTTTTGATCTTTACACAGAAAAAAAAGTGGAAGTTCTTTTTCAGGGTAAATTTTCAGCAATTTAACATATTGCTTTTTTTAAAAGCTTTATAAAGACCCAAAGCTGGAAAATCTTTTGAAAATCCTTAAAGATTACCATAATGATTTTTAATTGTTTCTAATGAATTCTTAAATTGCCAGCATTGCACCTTTGAACAGTATTTGATCCAAGACTGGTTCCTTCTCAGTGAACAGCTTTCTTATTGGTCCATTTCAAAACTCAAGCTTTAAATAGCCAATCAGATGTCAGCATTTCTGACTGGTCTTCAAATGTACTTATTGAACCTTTGATTCTTTATCAAAATTGAGACTGGTCTTTTAAACTAGTTTTCTTCATCAGTTTGTGAATAAAAATAATTTTTGACTTAGTATTTAACTACATTTTTATTGACTACCTGGACTTAACAGTGACTGCTGTTAAATATATTGTTTTAAAAATACCCATGATCGACTCCGGTAGATCATACCTGGAAGATTTCTTTTACAACAATGTTAATATATGATCTCAAACTCACTAACCCTGGTTTGAGAGACCAATCCCTTATCCATGTGGCCAGCACAACCATTTCCTGATCATTTTTAGCACATGTAGTACTTTGATATAAAATAAACAATGTATTGTTGCCAAAATACAATAGTATCATCAATTAACCTTCAACCTGCAACTACCCATGCGTTTAGTTCTAAGTGTGAATTGGCACAGAACTTGGCACAAGTTCAGTTTGAACTTGGCACAGAACTTGGCATAAGTTCATTGTGAACTCGGCACAGAACTTGGCACAAGTTCAGTGTGAACTCGGCACAGAACTTGGCACAAGTTCAGTGTGAACTCAGCACAGAACTCGGCACAAGTTCAGTGTGAACTCAGCACAGAACTCACCACAAGTTCAGTGTGAACTCAGCACAGAACTCAGCACAAGTTCAGTGTGAACTAGGCACAGAACTCAGCACAAGTTCAGTGTGAACTCAGCATAGAACTTGGCACAAGTTCAGCGTGAACTCGGCACAGAACTCAGCACAAGTTCAGTGTGAACTCAGCACAGAACTCGGCACAAGTTCAGTGTGAACTCAGCACAGAACTTGGCACAAGTTCAGTGTGAACTCAGCACAGAACTTGGCACAAGGTCAGTGTGAACTTGGCACAGAACTCGGTACAAGTTCAGTGTGAACTTGGCACAGAACTCTGCACAAGTTCGGTGTGAACTCAGCACATATGGTCACTCTCAGCCATGTTGCCTTTTTGGTCAGTACATACTTCTAAAATTTCAGAACATGACATAATTTGAAATTTCCCCTAAAATGATGAATGGTTTTGATGGACAATAATTGTCCGTTAAGGACTTCTAACATGATACAGGTTAATATTTTTACTGTATACTACTATAGAAAAGATAAAAAAAAGATAACAAATATTAAAAATTGATATGCAGTTATCATTGATTATTCAAGAAAAAAAACAACATATTTATTAATGATTATTCTGACAACTTCAATCATTGTGACCTTCAAGCCATTATGTTTTATTTGATCTAAGTATTAACAAGGGGGGAAATTACCTGGTGTTATATCGAGGTCAATTTACATGTACTTAGCCCACAGTACAAAGAACATGAATCATTTCCTCCCAAACTTTGCCTGAAGACACATTTATCTAAACATAAAAATGTGAAAAGTGTGCCATTCATGACCTGTCCAGATTACAACAGTTAACCTGTCTATATACTGCCATTGACTAACACTATGTAAGATCCTTGATAGTGTGACTCATTCCCAGAAGTAAAACACGAAATTAAACCCTGCTGAATTACATGTCCAGCTTTGAATTTAAAACAATAAGTTCAATGTATTCCAGAATCAATATATTTAACATTTTAAAAATAGTGCATGTACAGTCATGTATATGATATAATTTTTACTCTATCTTTACTATTATAATAATAGATATACTGCTGAATTTGCATAATGAATCAATTTTTGAAATGAAATAGTACAATGAATGAATTTGTGTACTGAATTGTGTAATTAATGAATTTATGTAATGAATTTGTGTAATTACTGAATTTGTGTAATGAATTTATTATGGTTTGATTTTAGTACAATGCATTAGTAATATAAAAAATGTTTGTATCTAATGCTAAAATTGAACAGTCAGTTGTTAATAATGTTTTCCCCAACCTGATGCACAAAGGTTCAAGCCCTACAAGGACCATGGATTGCCAGGTTAGGTGAGATTGTTAAAAAAATGTAATTACAAAGTTATAAGATATTGCCAAGTTAGGTGAGATTGCAAAAAAAAGTAATTACAAAGTTATATGATATTGCCAAGCTAGGTGAGAGTGCAAAAAAAATGTAATTACAAAGTTTGATGATATTGCAAGGTTAGGTGAGATTGCAAAACAAAAATGTTATTTAAAGGTTTATGATATTGCCAAGTTAGGTGAGATTGCAAAAAAAACATGTAATTACAAAGTTATATATGATATTGCCAAGTCAGGTGAGATTGCAAAAAAATATATATACAAAGTTAGGTGATATTGCCAAGTTAGGTTAAATTGCAAATTCATGTGACTGTTTTGTGGTAAAGTTTGAAGTAATTGACAGGTTAAGTTTGATTGCCAAGTTATGTGATTGAAAAGTTAGAAATAATTGCCAAAGTATGGTTTAATTGCCATATAAGGTATGATTGCCAAGTATAAAGATTTGATTTATGACAGTCGGATCAGATTGTCAAGTTTGATTTGAGTGCCCAGTAAGCTGTTATTGCCAAGTTTAAGTGTGGTTGCCAAGTATTGAGATGTGATTTTTGATAGATCAGATTGTCAAGTTAAATTTGAATGCAAAGTTATATTCATATGAAATTGAATAGAATAATAAAGTATAATCTGCATAAAAACATTATTCCAATGTAAATATAAGTTATATTCTAGAATCCAATTAAATAAAAAATTGTTAATGTAAAAAGTTTTTGCCAATTAAGACTCAGTGATTCTAGTGCAATTGGCAATTTTTATGACATTGTCATATCCCATGTGATTGCCAAGTTCATTCATGTAATGCCAATGTAAGTGTCAGGGAATAATATCCCCATAGGATACTTAATTACCATCTATATTATACAGTCATGATAAACATAATTTAGAAATAAATTTAGGGGGCATCATTTGCAAAAATACAAATAACAGAATTCTGTGATATAACTGTAATTATAAGAAACAACACTTAGAAATATTATTTGAAAAAAAAAAAATATTATATAAATACATCATCATGAAAATATTTCTCTTTTTTTATATTAATATTTCTTATAATTGGAGTCCTAACAGTTTTATAATTAATCTAAAAATGATATTTTACATTAATTTTATACAATTATTAATATTTTTACTTATAGTTCATTTCTATGCATATTTTTTTAATGAGCTTGAAGTTTCTTTAGCTACTAAATCAGTACTAATGAAATTTGAGCTTAATTAAGGCCCCCGCTGACTGAGATGGCGGCCTTTAAAAAAAAAACAAAAAAAAACAAACAAACCCAAGTACTCATAACCTTTGACCACGTTAATCCCTCTTTTTTTCTACTTCTTTCATTTTTGTTATTCATAAGAAAATATTTCTTAATCATTCTTTTCTTTTCTTCTTTTTGACCTAAATTTTGGACAACCATTGTAAAATGCACTATAAGTGTCTGTGAAAGAAAAGTGAAAATTATTTCTAAATCTACTGATGCCATGTGAGGTCATATATGTATGACCTTGAATTTGATTATTGCTAAAAAGTCTTTCTGAAAACAGTGTATTTAATAGTTAGGACAGAATTTAAATTAAACCTTAAACCCTAATGGAACAAAAACTGAAACCAGTATAAAGATCAGCCCAGTGGGTGGGGAGTCCAAGGGCTGGTCAAGTTGATTATCATCAGTTTCTTAATAGCTGTATGTTTAAAACAAAAGAAGATCTGAACATCTTAATTAAGTCAGATTAAGGGATGGTTGTCCCTCAATTAAGGGAGAAACCCCATCCCAACTACAGGCGTTCGGCACATTTGCCATGCCAATAATAATTTGTCCATTATTGGCCTGGCAAATGTGCTGAACACCTGTGACCCCAACACTACCTTAATATATAATGTCATAGCAAATACTAATATGCTATTATATATTTAAATCAAAATTCATGCCTCAAAATGAAACAAGGTTAAAAATTTAAGACAATATTTATATAATTATACATGAATTTAAATAAACACCTGTTTTCGGATCAAAGAAAATCAGCTTCTGCACATGTCTATTGAAAAGGAAATATTGTCCTATCCCATAAACCTGAGTAGACAATTACCTAATTTTGGTGGATTAGTGACAGAATGAATGTAACTCCCATGTAGTAGTATACAGTGATATGCCACTTATGAGCCAAGCCCTTGTGAATTAAATACCTGTTTATTTTTATAGTGTTATTGACCTTGGCAAGACAGATTATTATAATCTACCAATGCACACACCCACACATACACAGAAGTAAAGTGCAGTAATACGAAACCTTGACCGATTTTCACCCCACGAATTGATTTTACTCCCTAAAATTATTCCCCTGATTAACTTGTTAACAATGGTAACTTAGGCTTGCCCCTTGAGGAAGTTATGGATTAAATGCAAAAATGCTGTACCTAAATCTAATAAAAAACTCAAGTTAGGACACTGATGCACTGAACTCTCTAATAGTGGACCTACCCTTTTTACACTCCGCAAGCATTCCATATGTTTAAGCATTCTATTACATATGAGTTTCTATTTCCGTGAGTCACATCTCACTTTGTAACAAACAGTGGTAAAAAAAATAAAACAAAACAAAAAACAGGAGAAATACACGGAAACCCTTTTTTACCAATCTACTTGTTACAAATCATGATTTGAGCCGAGACACGACAAAACCAATATAATGGGTTTGCGATCAGCATGGATCCAGACCAGCCTGCGCATCCACGCAGTCTGATCAGGATCCATGCTGTTCGCTATCAGTTTCTCTACTTACTATAGGGTTTGTAAGTGAACAGCATGGACCCTGATCTGGTCTGGATCAATGCTTGTCACAAACCCATTATGTTGGTTTTTTTCATGACGCGGCTCATTTATTTATAAATTATCAACATCCTGTTAAAAAAAAAAATCATTTTTTAGTCAAAAATACTTTGCAAATATAGATTAAAATTTGAATTAAATGTAAAAAGAAATAACATTGATGATAAAATCCTCTACAGCATTAAACTTTCAAGGGACAGCCTACATATCCAGGCTTTCTAGTCAGCTTTAGTATTTTGACCCCCATCATGCTTCAATCTTAAATGGACTTATCTATGTTTCAATCTGGACTGAACCATTCATCAAGTGTTAGGATTTTTTAAACCACTGTCCAGGCAATTATTTTCTGCTGACTGTATACTGGGAACAGTCCAATTAAATGCAGCACATATTAAGTGGTTGCTGATCTTGGTCTGCACTTTTGCAGACTCAATGTTTTAAACTACTCACACCAGTTTACAAACCATCCTGATGTTTGAGGTGTGTTCTCTCCTTTTCTTGATTTAATTGTTGATTTTACTAATATTATTGTTAATTTGGCATTAAACGTTTGAGTCATCAAATATGGCACCACTATAGAACCAGACTGACTTTCTCATCTGTACACAGTCTGTCTGTCGTCTGCTAAAATTTGACAATTTATCTCCCTTAGAATACTAATGGATTGTTCCAAATTCAAGGAAGGGCAAGTGCATTGTTTAAATTCAGCAGGGGTAGGGGTTAGAACGAGGTATAAACAAACATCATTCTTGTTAACCAGAAAAACTCCTCCTTTATCTACATCAACTTGTTGATACATACATGACTGTGAAGTTTAATGTTACTCACAGAAAAAAAATATACCAGATGTACTCTCACTCTCTTAAAAGTACATCATGAGTCAGCATTATTTTTGTTGGTGTAGGAGAAAAATCAAAAGGTCACATGACATAGTCACATGGTATGTACTTCCAGGATGAACTTAAAAATAATAAACTTAAATAATAAGATTTATTATGATTTGAAAAATGTTCATAGAGAGTGAATAGTTAAGGTGTGAATTTTTTTTAATAGCCTATGCTATCAGTAAGAGACATGTCAGCCTAGATATTTATGCAGACTGACCAAACTGCTCTATTCTGTTGACTGACCAACTTCAAATTTTCTTCTTAATAAACCTTCAAAAATGATAATGAACAATTAAAAAAAAAAACGTAGGTAATTCAGAAGGATAAGGATTAAACATACATGTGAACTCTCCCTATTTAAGCGGGGAGACTCCCTCTTTCTCCTGTCAAATTTTTAAATATTTTTCTTAGAATAAAGGGTGTTTTAAAAATATTTAGAAATCTCCCTCTTTTTCATTTCAAAATTTCCTTCTATGTCAATTGTCAATTAAAAAATATCCCTCTTTTTGTAAGTAAATTAATTAAGTAAATAAGTAAATTCTACCTATTGAACATTGAAAAAAGTTCACATGTTACTTTAGCTTGGATAAGGTGCTTCATTGGCATGAATTTCATGTCTGACAGTTTAACATTATTTTAAGCAATAATAATGTCAGTACTACATAAAAATATCAATACCACATAGTTGTTTTCAAAAATCTTTTCGACACTGACAAAAAATGTCTCTCTTCTTTTTAGCAAGTTCAATTCTGGATTGGTTTGATATTCCCCTTCTTTGAAATAAACAAAAAAAACCTAAACAAAATGCAATGTCATAAACTGTTTTTGTGGTGAGAGGTTAAAAGAACATAATAAACAAAATGCATCAAAAAAAGTTACTTTTGCGTGAGGTTAAATAAAGACAACAATAATAACAATAAGATGCAATCTTATCAGACTTGTTGACTTTGTAACCAAATCATTTAAGAATCAGAGTCATTATCAACAATTTAAACTGATAAATGAGTCCCACTGTTTTCCGAAACGTAGTTGTTTTTCTTTAAACAATGCCTTTATTTTGCTGAAAACAAACAAAGCCTTGGATAAGATAGGGATACTTTTACACTTCAGACATTTAATCAACAGATTTTATCGCCAAAAAAAGGTGTAAATAGGTGCACTCAATAATTTGATATGTTGATGTCTTGATTTGTAGACCCCCATGGAGTACTATCTTAAAAAAAGAGACTTCTTTGACCCCAAATGTGTTTTTTATACAAAAAATAACCTCATGCAGTAAAAACAAAACTAAATGTTAAAAAAAGGAAGAAAAAATGAGCCCCTCCCCACAGGCCCCTCCCCCTAAAAAAACAAACAACAACAACAACAAAAACAAAACAAGCAAGAAAACTGTTATAAGCATAAAGCAACCACAAATAATAATAATAACAACACCAAAAAAAAGAAAATCATTATCATAAATGTAACAATTAAAAAAGCAACTGTTTAATGCAACAAAATTTTGAGATAGTATTAAATTAAATTTAAGGCAAATAAAATCCCACAGATAATTAACTTTGTTAAGTTCTTAAGTTTAAATACAATTCTTTAAAAAGAAAAGACCCCTACCTCCTCAATCCCCACACCCCCACATGAAAAAAAAATAGGGAAAAAAAAAACCAACAATAAACAAGATTAGAAATTGCAAAGAAAAGATATAAACAAAAAACATGAAGATATTTAAAAATGAACAAGTTTAGCACAAAAACAAAGGAAGGTGTGTGGTACAATTATAGGTACAGGTTGGGGTCAGATAGGTATCACATCTTTCTATGGGTGAATTGAAAAAATAATCCACTGATAAAATCTAAATCTGTGTTAAACCACAACATTTAGTTTGTCCTGAATTTTAAATGGTTTTCTAAAACCTATTTTGCGGCTCTCTTTGCTATCATACATTTAAAGTAAATTGATCTATTGTATTTCACAATATTTAATATAAAAAACAACAGAAATGTTTCTTAAAAGATATTTTATTAGAAAATAATATTGACAAAGTTCTAAGTGATTTAGTATGGACAATAATAGGTTTGACTATAATATCATATTATTATATGTTATATATAGATATGTCATGTCTGATCATGTTTCTATCAACAACAACATCCATATATAATTCTTTAGTTATTTGTTGTCATGAATAATATTAAATATCATCAACATGATTATTTATGGTATAAATGACCTTGTTATAAATACTAAAGTAAATCTTGGTAACTATATTATTTGTTTTGAGATCAGTAAGATTGTAAGAGAAGACTATATATTGATTTTTATAAATGATAAGCAAAAAATCTTTATCATTTAAAAAAAATTAAAAAGAAATAAATTTGGAATAAAAAAACATGGGAACCAGTCTTAAAATTAAGCATCTGATTGGTTACTTTTACACTTTTTTTTTAAACAGACCAATGAAATGCTTCAATTTTTAGACTGGTTTCAGCAACATTTCTTACTTATCTGAAATACAAATCTTTAAATTTTCATAAATTATTTAATGACAAATATATTATGGTTGTTTTACAAAACATTTTTCAGATGGAAGTGGAATATCTATTTATAAAATTTCAATATATTTAAAAAAAATGCATTACAATGTACATTGCAATGATAGTTCTAAATTCAAATTCAAACCTAGACAAGTCTTTAAAACAAGACTATGACTAATGGGGCAAAGGAATCTCATAGTTTATATAAAGATATACAAAGTATCTAACAATGTATCAAACAAAGTATCAAACATTTACATTATAATGATAAAAATTTTATGTAAATTAATTAATACATGTACTATGCATCTTAATCATTTTATTCTGCTGACCGGTGACCGTTTATTTGAGTGGACATTTTTACTGGACCTATGATTAACGCATTTGGTATTTATGTTATGTGCTACCTGTATTAAAACATCCAATATTATGTTAATGCTTATTTATTCGTGATATATAACAAATTTATCTGTATGTAATTATATACTGGTATATCAAACAGAAAGCCCCGGTCATTTACTTTATTGATTTACAGGCCAAAAAGAAATTTTTATCTGCCATATGTCTATATATGAGTCATCGTGACAAATAAAAATCCAGCTACCCTATTTATATTAAAGGGTACTTTTATAATCTTATCTAACATCAATTATTTGTCAAATACAAACTGACCACAAAAATGCTACCAATGACTCAGGTTTTATTGTAGCAAATATTTTAACAGATTCTCTCTCACAAGAAAAAATTATACTCCTTTCTCAGGTACAATTGTTGAAAGTTAACAAGTTTTTGGATTCTTTTATGTGAGGAAGCTATCCAGCAATCCTCTGTTCTATACAGGTACCTGTTTGCACTTGAAATAATGCACAGAGGTGCACCCGAGGTCTAACCTCCACCAGTAAAGCTGGAAAACTCCTATGACCTATACTGTGTTAGTGCAACATAACACTAAACCAGGGAAAAAAAGAATACATGTATATTAAAGACATTTTGTCTTCCATTCTTAGACTATTTTGTAAGAATTTTTGAAATGCTTTGTGTATATCACAAACTGTAACATGTACAAATCATGTATATATAATATTATATATTCTGAGGAAAATATATGAGAGACAGAAAAACTTCCTTTATATTATACTTATGACCAGTATGTAAGTTTGGAATCTATAATAGAAATATGAATTATGGAAAAAATGTTTAAAAAGTAGCAAATCAGTGCCATTTTTGCTTATTTTATTTTTAGAAAGGTAAAAGAAACATTGCATTATAGAACTTCGAAGAAGCCATAAATAATAAACTCTAAAAAATAATCATATGTGTGGTATAAATATATAATTTGGAAATAATTTGATGATGAAAACGATTTAACTGCAATATGCATTCAACAGATCTGTATACTTTGTTTCTATTGATATTTCTTTGTTCTTATCTCTATAAATTGACTAATTATCTTTGGTTACATCACTATCAATTGACTAAGTTTTTTTTGTACATGTCTTTGTAAATGCATTGACTAACTTTTTTTGTTCACAACTGGTATAAATTGAGAAATATCTGAGTCAATCACTAACTTCACTTTGATAATATCTATATAAATTGACTTAAATTTCATTTTGAAAGTTGACTTATATTTCTTTGTTCATATCTCTATAAATTTACTACATTCTTTTAGTTCACATTTAGAAATTTATTAAATTATCTTCTTTTTTCTATTTTCATGACTTGAAATTGACTAACTTTTACATTGTTCCTCTTTGTTCACATGTCTTTAAATTGACTAACTTTTCTTTGTCTGCAGCTTTTATATACTTCTTTGTTTATAACTCTTTAAACTGACATACTTTTCTTTTGTTCACAACACTATAAATTGTTTATCTGACATGATTTCCTTACCTTTTCATTCTGTATTAAACATCTCTTTAACTCTATATAGGTAAACCACAAAAATGTGGAATAATTAGGGTTAGGAATTTTCATGATTTAGTAACCTTGAGATATTTTCATGACATTATAGCCTTGATCTATAGACTACCTGTATCTAACTGTATCATATTTACATCTGTAGAAATTGCTGATATTTTGGAGGTTTGATATAAAATATATTGGGTTTCTTCTTTTTGTTGGTTTTGCATCTTCTGGGGGTAAAATTTCTTGTTATTTTATTGGTGAATTTTGTGTTTGTCTTTTTACAGTGAATTTTTTTTTTGTTTGCCCCTTCTAGGAAAAAATTCTTGTCTTGCACCTGACAAAGGTGAATTTGGTGGGATTTTCATATAATAAAAGGTTTTATATAGTGAATTTTGATTTTGTCTTTTTTTTAGGGAAAACATTTTTGCCTTTTTTACAAGTAAATTTTGTTTTTGTCTCCTTTTGCCTTTTTATCAAATGAATGAATTTCTGTTGGTCAATTTTATAAGTATCTTGTAAAGTGTTCTTTTGGAGGCAACTGGTCAGTTTTAAATAATGGTCATAGGTTCCCTTCTATCTACAATATTATTTCTGGCATCAGCAGCTGTCAGAACATTCATAAATACAATTTTAACATTCTATAAGCTAGTTTGATTCCTTCATTTTCTTAAAGAATTTGCTTCATTCAAGAATCATACCAATAGTGGCAATGGGCTGATGAATTGATGTATGCTACATTTGCCCCTCGGTCTGTTAATCTAAAGGTTTACAACATTACTTTAGCCTTTGTTTTCATGCATTTCTTCTCAACAGAATATTTATGATATATTTTCAGGACAGAATCCATTGTTCAAGTGCCAGTTCCAGTCAAGCCAATCGCAGGGAGTTCCAGTCTGTTATCACTGGGACCCAGTCTGTCAATGTCTGCTGCAGCCCGGCTTCATCCACCTAGACACAGTCTATCTTCACATACAGCGACAAGTGCAATATTGGGACACAGTCTACATGTTGGTGATACCATGACAACTAGAGCTCCCATAGCAACAAGAAATCACTTAGTTACAAGTTGCCCAGTCAAACTGTATCCATGGAAACCAAATATGTACCTTGTGTAAAAAATGATAATACTACAATATTATTTATTTATTTATATTTTTGTTGCCATAGCTACTTGTTAATTTTTTTTTAAAGAAATGGCATTGACCTTTGACACAACAAAGGTGACAATGGATAAACTAGCAAAACGTATTGTTTTGCAACTATTTAATATTGCAAAAAATGATAAGCCAGAGTTAGAAAAGAGAGAAAGCACTGTAATTACAGGGAAACTCCTTTTGTTTTTTCCCTTTAAAAATAATCCTACAACCTCTGTTTTTCTTACAGGAAATTAGGTAAATACAGAGAAGTTTGATCTATAGAAAAGTTAACTTTCTTGGTATTTGAATATAGCACAACCTCTGAAAAGCAACACCCTTTGGGTTGCATTTTAGAGGGGTTGCTGTTTAAAGTGTAGTATGAAAGTCTTAATTTACAGAAGAAAAAAATACAGTTGTTGTCAAGAGGACTGCTCTGCAGAGGTTACACTGTAAGTTAAATTGCTGCACTTGTTGGGCTGTGCACTTGAACTTTTGAAATCTGTTCCCATTACATATCATAAAGTTTTTTTTTTCTAATTTTGACTACAGAATGGCATGACTGTATAAAATAATATTCTTACTCTTTTTATTGACAGAATGTGAAATTATTTTGTCTTAAGCATTGAATAGAAAGGCTAGTGCTATGCTATTTCTCAGATTATCTTCATCTGTACATAAAGTTAGTCATAAGCTCCTAATTGTAAATACATGTAAATATATTTATTTTTATTTTGCAATTTGTTAATGTTTTTAATTAAAACAAATATTCCATTACAATTTTCATTGTGTATTAATATAACCCAGTCATTTACATTCCATCAAATACCATTTCATTTTTTGTTAATCATGTCTCTTATTTATTTGAATACCAAGAGAACACTTATGTGTAATTTCCTAAATTTTATTTAAATTATGTAACCATCCCAGACTGGTGAAGTATGATATAGATTCTCCAGAACTTTGCAAATGTGTTTTTTGTTTCTACCTTATCCCGGTTACAAACTTTTAAGTTCAACTTGGTAAATATAGTATATTTGTAATAGATGTTAACTTGAACACCAGCAAAATGTTGGGTTTTCCCCATCTTATCAAGGGTACATATAAACTTGGTGAATATATTGGTAATAGGTTGCTTGTATTCTGATAGTCCCTGCAATATACCATCCAGATGTTTACTTGAGTTCTGGCAAATGTGGCTTTTTCCCATCTGATCAAACTTTTACAATTACAACTTGGTGAATATAGCCCTAATAAATATTATCTGTAATTAGCAAATGTGGGTTTTTCCCATCTTTCTCGATGTTATAACTTATCGTTATAGCTGCAAGGTGCACTAACATGGTCACATTGTTATTATTATCATTATATTAAAGAAGTTGTAACTGTATTAAAGGTTTTTTTTATGATAACCAGGGAGTAGATAGGAAAACCCACATTTGCTGAGTTCTGGAATATATCTGTCAGTACAATATGTAGACCACTCTGTTGAGAATGGTATAAAAAAGTGCACCAAGAACCTATATCAAATGTACTCTTGGATCATATCATTTTTTTAAATTTCCAACCAAATACATGTCGATCTTTTTTGAGAGAACACCACTCTTCATGAGTAGCATTTTATAACACATTTCATTCAGTTTGTATTTACTATTACTATATTGTTACATTTCCCTTTTGAAATGTTTTCTTTCTTTTGGTGCAATTGCTTTCTTTGTATTAATTTTTTTTGTTTTAAATAAAGTTGAAAGTTGAAAATGTCTTGTTTTTCATTGTTGATCTTTTGTCATGTGAAGTATAACAGAATAGATGTGGTTGCTGACTTCAAACTACTGCCCCTCCAGCGATACTTCTTATGTTGCTTGGATTTTAAGTCATACATGTAATAGCACTTTTATGGTCATATGGTGATTTTCAAGTTTTCCAGGTGACGGATTATCTCAGATGGGCCTCTTTGCATGATTTCTGACAAAAACAGGCACCTCAGCAGAACCTACAATCATCTGTAAACTAGCTAGATTATTCTTAGCTTCCTCACATAAAAGGCTCCAAAGTATCTCAGGTAGTGAGTGATTCAAAGTCAACAAGCATAGCTATCAAACCAACAGCATTGAGGGGCCAGTGGTTCAAAGTCGTCAACTGTAAGCTTTGAACCCACAGTAGTGTCCGGGGCAAGTGGTTCAAATTTATCAACCTTAACCACTCAGTCACAGAGACCAATTAATTACCCCTTTGTGTATTATTTTCAGAAACAGACAGGAAGAAAGCAAAATAGAACCACTGACCTTCAAACTAATTGAATAGTTTCATGCAATGATGAATTTTTGGTTTTGATAAATTAAGGCATGAACCTTGTATTATCTATTTATCTTTGTGCTTAAAGTTGGCCAAGTGGTTAAGGTGTCTGCCTCTCAACTCTAGGATCATGGTTTCAAAATCATTAAGGGTCACAACACAATTAGGCATGAACACAGTTCAAGCAATTAATGTCCCTGGCTAAGGGAAGCGGTCTAGTGGTTGAAGAGTCTGCCTCAAGGCATCAAGCCCTACTGAGTGGATGAAAATGTCTCCTCATATGACACCAGTGCTGTTGAATGCCAGGAATGAAACTTGAGAGTAGTTCAAAAAAGCTTAAAGCTTTTCTTTAAAACACAGCTTCAATGAAGCTTTTCTTAACTTAACTGAGCTTCAATAAAGCTATTCAAGACTGAGCTTCAATAAGGCTTTTCTTTATAACTGAGCTTCAAAAAAGCTTTTCTTATAGAAGCTGACCTTCAATAAAGTTTTGTTTTTCACAGCTGAGCTTCAATAAAGCTTTTTCTATGTAAGCTTCAATAAAGCTTATCTTTACATTTGAGCTTCAATAAAGCTTTCCTTTATAATTAAATTCAATAATGTTTTCTTCAGTGAAGCTTTTCTTTATTACAGAGCTTCAAGAAAGCTTTTCAATTTAACTGAGCTTCAATTAAGCTTTTCTTTATAACTGAGCTTCAATAAAGTTTTTCTTTACAACTGACAACTAAGTTTCTATAGATAATGACAAACTAAAGTAAAAATACAACAACAACAAGAGACATTATAAAAACAATTTAATTACAATTTCATAAATGTTCTTTCTATCATACAAACATTGTGCTTTAAAGATTCATTAACAACACTATGACAATTAAAGGTATACTTGACAAGGTAGAATTGCATGGACGGGTACAAAAAATGTAACATAACCAATCTTCTATAATCAGACTGCTAATTCTAGAGGAACATCTGTTAAAATTTTTTTTTTCTTCTTCAGAACTTGTGATGGAAAATAATAAAAAGGAAATAATTGTTTCAGTTGCACACAAGTCAAACAAAAAACTGCCAAGCTTATAAGCTCTACTATATAAGAAATAGCATATAGCAGTTAAAGCAAAACCAAACAAAATATGTATTAAAAGATATAAAATGAAAATAATATTTAAAGGACTTTGGGATTTTTATCATCATAAGAGTATTCCTGGAATCATAATCCTTATTCACTACCCTGGTTTTAAACTCCTAGCCTACTTCTACCCATGTGACTTTGCAGACCAAGATAAGATGGCACTGATCCTGGTCTGCACCGTTTGCTTTCCAGTCAATACATATTTAGAAATATTACCTAAAAATAATGAGTGGTTTTACAAAGATATATAATGGGTAAAGCCCCTTCACCCCCTCCCACAGGGTTCGTACTCTCAGTGCCTGAAAAGTATTAATTTTTTAAACCTATAACCAAGCTAAATGTGTTCAATAGATTTGCCCTGCTTAGAACCCTGAACGGACCGTTGTTAATTTCAGGGGATTCAAGATGAAATTATCTTTTATATCAAGTATTATCAACAATTATAACACTTTCATCGCCATCAAAAATCACATTAATTCCTTTCCCACTTCCACAATATAAAGATAGTTAGTACAAATCATGTACATTTTCTATATAAATCTGCTAAAAGTCATGTGACATCCTACAAAAAATTTTAAAAAATATTCCAAGAATATCTTTTTCCCATTGATATTTAAATATACCGCAATTTCTGGTTCATCAAATAAGTACACCTCCCCCAACTTTACCGCAGTATTTACCACAATCACCGCTCCTTTTAACCATTATTAATTTTCCCGGCTACGTATTTCTCACAATTCCTGAAAACCTCGATAGACTAGAATCAACTCAATGGCTTCTGATTCTTGCCGCTATTTTTGTAATCGTTTGTATTTTAACCTTTCCCTAGAAATAAAATTATTAACCTGTCTATATTTGTTACACTATCTGATCAATAATACAAATAAATCTTCATACAGAAGTCACTGGCAATAATTCTGTGTTTGAGAAACATGAAAGCCTCGCACATGCTCACAGTTAATTAGCTCTACATGTATCATTTTTCAAGAATTCGAAACAACAAGTTTGTAATATTTCCATTCAAGAAAGACCTATTCCTGGCATATCACGTATCTTTATAAATGACCTATATTTGTAAATGACATTGTTTACAATTAAATACTTGCAATGTTTATTTTTTGTTAAGAGATTAAGTCACAGGCACACATAATAACAGTATGAGGCTATACCAGGCTACTCTAAAATTTTCTTATATTTAGGGCAATAAATTTTTCATTTTTTTGTGGATTGGTCAATCCACAAATTTAAAATCCAATGAAATATATATTTTGCCTCCTGGAATATCGTTTCGGCATTTTTTTCCAAAAAAAAACCCAGATAATTCACAAATTAAAATAACCATGAAAATGTTATTTTTGACAAAATCACACAATTTTATGCCCATGAAATTAAGAATATTATTCTGTTTTGTTAAAATATCTTAATAGTTACAGATTTCTACTCTTTAAAATCATTACAGCAAAGTATAAGCATTAATCATGAAGGCTTAAAAGCTTCTAGGTCATTTATTTCCGGAATGAACCAGTTCTTCAGAAGATCCACCAACCTAACACAATAAAGCTGGATAACTTGCTTACAAGAATGAATTTAATAACCATGACCAGTTTCCAGTGTTATAAAGAATTTGT